AAAAGGGGCAAAGTGGACTCACAAACACAAGTCACATCTGAACAGTGGTTTAATAACCACCCCTGAGAGACGTGAAAAATGATGACAAAACCATATGAAGAGCACGTGTGTCCAAACCACACACAAAATGACCAGAACACACTGAAAACAGATGATACATAAGCAAACACAGTAAACATAATGGCCAAATATTCTGCTCAAGAATGAGACTTTAAGTAATTATTATAATTTTTTTAATATTTAAAGAGAGAGGATAAAATCTTTCGTAATCGTTTGGACCTGACCGCTCAACACTCACCACAGGTGTGGTCAAAGAGGCGTGGCCACTGAGGAAGGAGTTAGACACTGATAGGCTGAGACCAAGAGCAGGCTCCGCCTCCTCCGGAAGCCCAGCAGGAGGAGGGAGAATTGAAAAAGACGAAGAGGAGGATGGAGGAGGAGAAGAAGTGTAGGAGGCCTAGAGCGTAAGACAGAAACATGGAACAGGAAGAAAAGAGAGAGGAACGAACAAAAGATGAAATCAGGTTAAAAAGAAAGAAAGGCAAAGTGAGTTATATCAACTCAGCAAGAAAAAAAGTAGAAAGTGATTTAAAGGCAACATGAAATGTAATGCTTTTACTTATATATATATATATATATATATAATTATTTCTATATCATGTATTTATTTATTTACATTTATTTAGTATTTTATTTTTTGTTAAATATTATTACATAACTCTCACGGATGTAATAACTTTATTTTATTTAGTAAGAAAGTAAATAGGGTCAATTGGGATTTTTATGTTGCCTTTAAAAAAAGAAGAGAAGAAAAGAGCACCAGAAAAGAAGAAAACTATGAGTTACTATATATATATATATATTTTTTTTTTTTATTATTATTATTATTATACATATATAACTTTCAGAATTTTTTTTTTAGAACTTTCTTGAAGGAATTTAAATAAATCTCAATTAAATTTGCACCAGAAATTAAGAGATGATGTGAAAATAGGATAAAGATGCTGCTGTGGCACAAATTCTTCCCACAGCATGTGAGTTCTGGCTTTGGAACCCAATCTAATTTGTAACTATTTTACAAAAAGCAAAAAAAAAACATAGTTGATCCATATTTTCCAGCTGACTTTACAGTGACCCTGACGTGGCCACCAAAACAGTCACGTGTTGCCTAATCTAAAGAACCTTGGTGCGACCTCTGACCTTCAGGAGCTTAACCTCTGACCTGCTGCATGCTCAACGCCCTCAGGCACAGCTCACTGATAGCACGCATGCACATGATCAGAACTCACCAGCTGTCTCTGTTTGGGAGGCAGCGCTGGCGGAGGGACGGGTTCGTGGACGGAGTCCGAGCTGCTGTAGGAATCGTTGAAGCCGTAAACCTCCTGGAAGCGCTTGTTCCTCCGCTGCTCGTAAATACTCTCGTTCTGAGGCATCTGATAGAAGACGGACGGCTGCGGTTCAGAGTAATCCTCCACAAACTGCATGTACTGGAGGACTACAGAGAGAAAAGAGTTACACACGTGAAAGAGAGGCATTTTCTTGATTTCTATTCAAATAAATCAAAACTACTGTATACGTTTATTTAAACCTATGAAAATGCAGATCCTGTTGTAAAATCATATAAAGTTGAAAATTACAGTAATAACATGAGAAAGAGAGAAGTTTTTGCATTTTGGTATTGAGAACTGACAGGCTTAAGTAATTTAAAAAATATTTAAATTGATCTGGCAATGCATAAAATCTTACAATGGGCTTAATTTTCTTATGCAAAATATAAAATTTATTTCTAGATGTGGTTTTGAAATCAGTGTTTATGATGAAGTTTTATGCTCTCTTGTAATGGTATTTTTTAAAGTTTTGTGTGCTTCACTGGCATGACAAAAAGTGTACATTTTATTAATAAATAGGCGCAAATAAAGCAAAATAAGAAAACAGTGAAAATGGTCAAATAAAACTAAAATGTAAAAAATTAAATTAATAAAAAAATAATAATAGGAAATTAAATTTATCAAATTAAATAGATATTAAATAAATAACAAATTAAATTAAATATTTTATTTTTATTAATAAAAATATTTATTAAATACAATATTTATGTAATGCAGAACTATAGAGAGAAACATTTTAACGTGCAGTTAAATGTGCAAAAAAACAGATATTATATATATATATATATATATATATATATATATATAAAACAATAACATTTTATTATTATTTAAATCAGCATAAAGACAATCCTATGTTGTATATATAATACAATATATATATATATATATATTATACAAATCGATTTACAGTAATTACATGAGAAAGAGAGTGTGATGAGAACTTAAGGTATAATTAATTTAATTGATAAAGATTTACTATTCAATTAACTGATTAATTGATTTGGCAATGCATACAATCTTAAATGGCCCTAAAAAATGGGCTTCATTTTTTTCTCATGTTTTACGAAATATGATCCAGACATGTTTCTGGATGGTATTTCGAGAGACTCACTTAAAAATAAAAAAAATGTTAAAATACAAAAACATTCTCTTACTCTGTTTGCCCTTCTTCTCTGGCAGCGGCGGCGGGCTGTCGGCGTCTGTACACCGCGAGAGGTCGTCTCCTCCGTTGACCTGTGGCAGCAGTGACGCCGGCATCAGCAGCGGGAACGGTGGCGTCGACTGCTCCTCTTCTGACAGGTTATCGTAGTGCGATGGAAGGCGCTCGTAAAGAGGGTACGCCGTTATGATCGGCGCCGACCGCCGCTTCTTCTGCGGGAGGGCGGGGGGAAGCACGCTATTGGTCTGTCCAGGTGTGAGGGGCGGGGTCCAGTACTCCAGGGAAGCCTGATTGGTGACGGGAGCGCTGAAACGCGGGTGGGCGGGGGCCTGGGCGGGGCTTAACGACTGAGACTCCCCGTGGCATTCTGGGAGAGGGCTCAGACTGCTGCCAGTGCCTGTCGGAAACGGTAAAGGCTCGGATACGGATAGATCCTGATGCAGGAAGTCGTAATCGGGATCATATCCCTCTATAGACAAAGAAAGAGAGGATTCACATCTTGGTAAATGCTTAAAAATCTTCAACTTTTATTCATAATAGTGTTTGCATACCTAGTGTTTCACAGCTAGTGTTGCGAGAGCACTGGCCGCTGTCTCGCTCCAGTGACGAGAGCTGCTCGTCGGACTTGCTGAGTTTTCCCATACTGTTACAGGGGGACAGACAAGGTGAATCCCCGCCGTATGACTGGCTCCCACCAGAGAAACGCCTCTGCAGGAGATCCACGTCAAACTCCTGCTGCTTTAAACACAGAACATGCAACAAAAACTCTATTACCAAACAACGTGTATGTGGTTTTGAATGGCATGTCTTTATGATGAAGTTTTATGCTTTCTTATAATTGCATTTTTTTCTCAGCTTTATTGGCATGACAAAAACTGTACATTTGCATTACTAAAGCAGTGCAAATGAAACAAACTAACAATAGTGCAAATGGTAAAATATAATTAATGTAAATTAAATTAAATTTAATATAAATGAAAACTTATTAAAAATAAATTAAAACAATTTTTAATTAAATAAAATATTTAACAAAAATAACTTGATAGATTTTGTGGTAGCATTACTTTTAATAACTCTTTTTTGTTTGTTTTTTATGAATGATGTCATAGGTAATTTGTTCCTGAATTTTGATTGGTCGAAGCGGTGTTCCAGTCATGCTAAAATACATAATATAAAAATATCTATATTTGACTAGCACCTATAGAGAAAAACTATTGAACTTGTATTAAACTAATAAATGAATAGCCTGCTAATCAACAGTTTGACCAGCGAAGACCAGCAAAAGGATTTTTCAGCAAGATAAAAATGTTTTTTGAAAATGTGTCCTTAGTATTTCTATTTTTATTTCTTAAATCTGCTTTGAGAGTTAACTCTTTTATTTTTTATTAATATTTAGAATTAGCTTATATTTTCATTTAATTTTGTTAACTGCTTTTTTAATATTTCTAAATAGTTTATTTTTATTTCACATTTACTTCTCATCTCATCTACTATAATTGTTTTTATTTTATTTCAGCTTTATTTCAATTAACAAAAATGTTTTTTAATAGTAATAGTTAATGATACGAACACGGATCCAAACACCATTTAATATTACACACTTCACTGTCAAGTTAAGAAATCAGCATTAGGGTTGTTGTTGTGGTAAAAAAAAAAAATCAATAATCAGGATCGGGCCATCTCAGAGAGGTCAAAGGTCAAGGGTCGTGCTCAGGTGCTGTACCTGTCTCAGAGCTCCAGGAGGCAGGTTGAGACCACATGGGACTCGACTCATCGGCGCTACCACGGCAACACGTGTGGGGGAGGGGGCCGACTGTCGCTTCTTGGGAGGCAGAGCGGGCGGGCTACGGCACAGTATGCAGAGATATGCAAATGAGCTCACAAGTATGAAACAAATAATGTAACGAGGTCAAACGAAATGAGCACAGACAGTCTACACACGGTTAGTGAGGGTCTAGCCTGGAATTTAATTGAACACACGCACACACACACTAACACACACATAGAAGTAGCACAGCAGTGGAATGTGTGGGCGGTGAGTTCAGATCTTGGGTTTCCCTGACGATTCTTTACACTTCAATGAAGCTCTAGCAGGTAACCATGGAAACATTAGAATAAACTAATCATAGAACACCCAGTGGGAGGGATTCGAGCGGGATGCAGCGCTAGTCAACAATCCTGACGGAATGCACAGGATTCCATTTGGAATTTTTGGAATAATTTGCATAAAGGATCCAAATGGGAATCAATTAGAATCTTCTAAGGATTGAATTAAATTACAACGGGATAAACAGAAATGAAGAGTTTTAGAATACTGTCAAAAAAAATGAAAATCTGTTATCATTTACCCTCAAGTTGTTCCAAACCTGCATGAGTTTCTTTCTTCTGTTGAGCACAAAAAATGATATTTTGAAGAACGTTGGCAACCAAAACAGTTGATGGTAACCATTGACTTCCATAGTATTTCTTTTTCTCTACTTTGGTAATCAATGACTACCGTAAACTGTTTGGTTACCAATACTTTTTGTGCTCAACAGCAGAAAGAAAGGTTTGAGGTTGAGTAATTTAATGACAGAATTTTCATTTTTGGGTGAGCTATCCCTTTAATGGAGTTGTTTTATTTGAAAGATTCAGAAAAAATATTTTATGATGAACTAAAGGAGCATTTCATTCTATTGAGAATTACAATAATCCTATTGGGACTAAAACTAAAACCATTAAAAAATAATAATAATTCAATACTTGAAATAAAATAAACTAACTGAAATAAAGTAAAATAAAAACTTATTTCAGCCAGTTGCCAAGGTAACATTTCTCATCTTCCTTTAGTTTAACTTGATGTATTAAAATAACAAACTAAAAATGTAATAAATTAATACAAACTACATAAACATGTAAAAAAAATGACAAAAATACATGACAAAATTACTAAAATCTTAAGAAAGATTAAATTAACCCATATTAAAATAAAAAACTGAATACAAATATTAAAATCTATAATAGCACTGATGATCCTAAAAATATTTTGGTGCAGAAACGATGTTCACTCAAAAATTGCTAGTAAATTTCACCAAAAATTTACAAAGAAATGGTAACATGTTGAATTAAATGTAAAATTTTGAAGTAGAAAGAAAAAGTATTTTCTTGTAAAAACGTACTCGAATAACTTTTTTTTCCAGCTTCAAAAAACAAACAAGCAAAAAAAAAATCATTTACCCTCAAGTTGTTCCAAACCTGCATGAGTTTCTTTCTTCTGTTGAGCACAAAAAATGATATTTTGAAGAACGTTGGCAACCAAAACAGTTGATGGTAACCATTGACTTCCATAGTATTTCTTTTTCTCTACTTTGGTAATCAATGACTACCGTAAACTGTTTGGTTACCAATACTTTTTGTGCTCAACAGCAGAAAGAAAGGTTTGAGGTTGAGTAATTTAATGACAGAATTTTCATTTTTGGGTGAGCTATCCCTTTAATGGAGTTGTTTTATTTGAAAGATTCAGAAAAAATATTTTATGATGAACTAAAGGAGCATTTCATTCTATTGAGAATTACAATAATCCTATTGGGACTAAAACTAAAACCATTAAAAAATAATAATAATTCAATACTTGAAATAAAATAAACTAACTGAAATAAAGTAAAATAAAAACTTATTTCAGCCAGTTGCCAAGGTAACATTTCTCATCTTCCTTTAGTTTAACTTGATGTATTAAAATAACAAACTAAAAATGTAATAAATTAATACAAACTACATAAACATGTAAAAAAAATGACAAAAATACATGACAAAATTACTAAAATCTTAAGAAAGATTAAATTAACCCATATTAAAATAAAAAACTGAATACAAATATTAAAATCTATAATAGCACTGATGATCCTAAAAATATTTTGGTGCAGAAACGATGTTCACTCAAAAATTGCTAGTAAATTTCACCAAAAATTTACAAAGAAATGGTAACATGTTGAATTAAATGTAAAATTTTGAAGTAGAAAGAAAAAGTATTTTCTTGTAAAAACGTACTCGAATAACTTTTTTTTCCAGCTTCAAAAAACAAACAAGCAAAAAAAAACACGTTTTTTTTTTACAGTGTATGCGTTCTAAAATATTCCCATTATGATCCTGCAAATTATTCTAGAAATTCCAACAGAAATTCCATTCACATTCTTTAAGGATTTACAGACTAGTCTTCACTGGTCAGCCATGCAAATTCACTGCAGTCAGGCTTTCCTCTGATTGGCCGTCACTCTGCAACGTGTAATCCAAGTGGACGCACACTGCCACACAACCACATGCAGGTAGGTGCCACGTCCAATCAGGGAGGCCGAGGGGTGCAACTGTGTGATGTCAAAATGCACACAGAGAACACCATTGGCTAACATACGTTTCCATCGCCGTGGCCCTTCGCTGCCCGGCAACAGGATCAGAGCACAACTGCATCCTTTTCCTGTCCCAGGACAACCAAACGATCACAGAGTACAGAGAAAGAGGATGAACAAACGATTCCAGAGAAATAACACACAAAAATGGATGAAAATGCAGGAAGAAAAGAATGATGTGTGATTGAAAGACACAAAGATTGATAGAAAAACAGAAACAGCGGTTGAAAGAATCACACAGTATATAACAAGCTCAACAGACACACAGACGTTAATTACAGCAGATGCTATGCTGAATTTTACACAAATGAAAACGAGGCTGTGAGGGATGGAAGTACAGTTTGTTCAATATCTCGCACTGAGAGCACCGAAACATTGGCTGATACTGATGCAAAATGATGCAAAATTGAGCGCAGGTGGCTGATGGCCGATAAAACGCCATTATATATTAAAATATTAGAGACACACTGCCAATAGGTTTGATATTGCCAATAAATTTGGTTAATTTATTTATTTGTTGACTAGTATGCACAATATTATTATTATAAAGCAGGGTATTCTACTTAAGAGGTTAGTGATGAATGATTTATTTGTTTCTAAAAGCAGAAAAAAAATATAAAAAAAATAGTTATGCATATGGATAACTAGACATTTAAAAAAAAAACTTATTTAAAAATGGCTATAATATAAATTAAAAATATTAAAATATTTAAAAATATAATTGTATACAACAATAATGAGATGTGCATTAAATATCAACATAAAATTAAATGAACATTTATTTGGCATAATATTAACTGATTGCTAATTAATTGTAAGTTGAAAAATCTTATTAAATAAATCCCTAAATATTAGACAATTTGTTGGTGCATTATTAATTTAAATTGCGTTTACACAAATTTCCATTGCAAAAATTTAAAAACCAAACCAAACAAAAAAAATATATTGAGAATGAAATGTGACCTGCAGAAGTGTGATATTTTGAACAAAATACAGCTCTGAACTTTAGCCTTGTTTTCACTGATGTCGAATTAAATATGCCATGTACTCTGACTTCTCATCAGGTTACTCACAACCATCCATATTTCCCCTTTGTAGAAAGTGTGTATGATGCTTATTTTACTCCTACATGTCTCTTATATAGTTCAGTCGCTTATCACAGACAAAAAGGAAACGGAAAAACAAACTTCTGCTTCGGAAGCAAAGCGCCACCGAGAGAGGATGCTGTTGAATGTGTGTGTGTGTGTGTGTGTGTGTGTGTGTATCGAATGTGTTCTCATTCAAATATATTTAGATACTTGCTTGTGGAAAAAAAGCAGATTTAAGAATGAACATGACTCATCTGTGGGAAATTACCATCACTAAAGATACTACATACTGCAACTGCCTAGTACACGCTAATATACTTACACTACAGCACATACTAACTACTGCACACTAAAGTATACTTGATGTTCACCTCATCAATGCATCCTACGCAGTAAGGAATGCAGAAAGGAAACAGTGAGGTATCAAATGATTTGGGACACAACCAATATGAAGGTCTGTTTGGAAAGGCATACTGAACTAATATTCACTATCTTATTCAATATGTGTTCTGGGCAACTTTCTGTATGCATGGAATTCTTCCATGAGCTACTACATTTACGAGAAAGCAATCCCACAATGCAACAAGCTCAATCTTTTGATTTCAAGTGTGAAAAATGAACTCAAAAGTAATATCTACTTTTTAAAAATGTTTTGAGAAACATTTCACTTTAAGAAAAAGTTGCTTTTTGAGTTTTCTGAACCCACAAACAACAACAATTTCCAAAGCCACGCCCCCTCACCTGTGCTCTGCCAGTTTAACTCCTGGCAGAGGAGGTTTGGGCGGAGCAACCTCTTCCTCTGACATGTCAGTCAAACTGTCAGTGGGCGTGACAATGGGCGTGGTCTTACTCAGGATCGCCTTCTCTCGTTCAGTTAGAGGATTTTCACACACACTGAGATAGAGAGACAAACATTATTAACTATCACTATGCAAAATGGGTAAATTCATTTTGGCCTTTATGACTGTACCTCTCAGTTTTGACCACAGGAGGTATTGTTGGTTTGTTGGGGGACGTCGGGGACGGTTGCTCCTGTTTCTCTATAGTGAGTTTCACCAGCTCCTGTTACAAACACACACCCTCGGGTTATAAATATGCCTGTGTTGTTTTAACCTTGTCACAAATGCACTTTTCATCGCCTCACCTTCACACCATCCAGCACAGCTTTGATCACCGTGGTGACGGTTGTCACAGTGTCCTTGTCGTCGAGGTCGATGCCCTCCAGCATCACCTGGTCGGACCAGCGAATGAGATTCGCCAAACTCTGATAGACGCAGTTATGACAGGAGGACACTGCCGAGCTGCGGTTACAGAAAGAGATTTTAATATAGGAAAAATGGAAAGAGGGCTGCATGCAAAGAAAACCATGGTATTACCATGGTACATGTCGAAATACCATGTTAATATTGTTTTGTTAGTGCTGGTACACTCACCTGTGCTGTATCCGAGCCTCTACTTGCATCAGAGGCAATATGGCCTCCAATACTTTACTAGCCGAACCAGGAAGCATCTGCAAAACTTTCGTATCGACGTTCATCTTGTCCACAATCGTCTTAAAGTAACGTAGCGCACTCACCACCTCCTTCTCCTGTTCCTCCAAACGACTCACCTTCTGTTAGAAGACAGGAAGGAAAGTTGTTTTTTGCGGTGACAGAGCAGCAATAGACTTACTGTACTGAGTTGAAACAGAGCAGTAGTGGTGTTATTCTACAGATACGAAGCTGTGATTTAAACTTTACATGCATATAGCTGCAGTAGAGCTACTTTACAACTTGAAGCATGCAGTTACTGTTTGCTGATAGAGCGGCACTAGAGTTGCTGTAGAGTTAAGTGGTTATATAGTTCATTTGTACTGATGTAGAGGGGTAGTAAAGTTACTGTGGAGTTCTAAGGCTGTAAAGTTGATGTTTACAGTGATAGAGCGGCAATAGATTTACTGTACTGTAGAACTAAGAGCAGCAGTAGGGTTATTCTACAGATGAGAAGGTGTGGAGATAATCTTTACAGAGACAGAGCTTCAGTAGAGCTACTGTAGAACTTTAAGCATAAAGTTAATGTTCACAGACAGTTGCAATAGAGTTAAAAGGGTATACAGTTAATGTGTACTGATGTAGAGGGATAGTAGGGTTACTGTAGAGTTTTGAGTGTGGAAAGTTCATGTTTACTGTAGTAGAGCAGCAGTAGATTTACTACAAAATTGAGAGTAGAGATTTAATGTTCACCGACAGAGTGATTGTAGAGTCACTGCACAGTTCAGAGAGTTGTGTTTAGAGCTACGGTAGAGGTAGGAGAGTGGAAAGTTCATGTTTACTGTGGTTGAGCAGCAGATTTACTGTAGATTTGAGAGTACTGTAAATTAATTAGAAATGAAAATTGATGTTTTTATTGATAAAGCAGCAATAGAGCTACTGTAGAGTTAAGATAGAGCAGCAGTGGAGTTATTTTACTGACAAGAAGGTGTGGAGATAATCTTTACAGAAATAGAGCTGCAGTAGAGATACTGTAGAACTTAAAGCGTTCGGTTAATGTTTACAGACAGAGCGGCACTAGAGTTGCTGTAGAGTTAAGAGGGTAATAGGGTTATTGTAGAGTTCTGAGGGTTAAAATTAATGTTTACTGTTGTAGAGCGGAAGTAGATTTCCTATAAATGGAAAGTTGATATTTGCAGTGATAAAGCGGCTACAGAGTCACTATAGAGTTGAGGTAGAGCAGCAGTAGATTTACTGCAGAATTAAGAGTAAAGAGTTAATATTCACTGATATAGAGCGACTGTAGAGTTACTGTACAGTTGAGAGGGTTGTATTTACAGTTACTGTAGAAGTTGGAGGGAGGAAAGTTAATGTTTACTGTGGTAGAGCAGCGGTAAATTTACTCCAGAATTGTGAGCAGAGTTACGTAAAATTCATTGATATAGAGCGACTGTAGAGTTACTGTACAGTTGAGAGGGTTTTGTTTAGAGTTACGGCAGAAGCAGGATGGTGTAAAGATAATGTTCACTGTGGCAGAGCAGCACTAGATTTACTGCATAATATTCATTGATATAGAGCGACTGTTGATTTACTGCATAGCTGAGAGGTTTGCATTTACAGTTAATGTAGAAGTTGGAGAGAGGAACGTTAATGTTTACTGTGGTAGAGAAGTAAATTTACTCCAGAATTGTGAGTAGAGAGTTATGTAATATTCATTCATATAGAGCGACTGTAGAGTTACTGTACAGTTGACAGGATTGTGTTTAGAGTTAGGGTAAAGTTCTGTGGGTGGAAATTTAATGTTCACTGTGGTACAGCAGCAGTAGAGTTACTATAGAATTGAGAGTAATCATTGATATAGAGCGACTGTAGAGTTACTGTACAATTGAGAGGGTTGTATTTCGTTATGGTAGAGTTAGAAGGGTGGAAAGTTCATGTTTACTGTGGTAGAGCATCAGTAGATTTACTCCAGATTTGTGAGTAGAGAGTTACGTAATATTCATTGATATAGAGCGACTGTAGAGTTACTGTACAGTTGACAGGATTGTGTTTAGAGTTAGGGTAAAGTTCTGTGGGTGGAAATTTAATGTTCACTGTGGTACAGCAGCAGTAGAGTTACTATAGAATTGAGAGTAATCATTGATATAGAGCGACTGTAGAGTTACTGTACAATTGAGAGGGTTGTATTTCGTTATGGTAGAGTTAGAAGGGTGGAAAGTTCATGTTTACTGTGGTAGAGCATCAGTAGATTTACTCCAGATTTGTGAGTAGAGAGTTACGTAATATTCATTGATATAGAGCGACTGTAGAGTTACTGTACAGTTGACAGGATTGTGTTTAGAGTTAGGGTAAAGTTCTGTGGGTGGAAATTTAATATTCACTGTGGTAGAGAAGCAGAAGAGTTACTATAGAGTTTTAAGGGTGGATAGTTAATGTTTATTAATGTAGGTTACAGTAGAGTAACTGTAGAACTCATAGGGAGTGGATAGAGTTGCTCTACCTTGTTGACAGGTTTCTCTGGAGTCGTCACCGTAGGCTCTGGCTGGAGTTGTTTGCTTTTCTTAGATGGAGTTCGTTTAATCTTCGGGGAATGAAATTTCATCAATTTCATCGTGAAAGAGGAGAGGTGAGACTTCTGGGATTCTGAAAAAAAAGGATAAATTCACAAAATAAGCAATCAAAAAGGAATAAAAAAAAAAACAAGATGACAGATACATTTAGAGGGCTGATCTATCACTGAAAGAGGAGGGCGTGAATGGGATATTTACAACCAGCAATCAATGCAAGATCAGAGTCAATTTATATAATCAACACAATTAAACTATACAAATAATCATACACAAGACTCGCTGGCGATTAACATCACCAAACAAATGTGCTCCCACAGGCAATTACATAATCTAGAATCCCTGTCTGTGGGGTTTTTATCATAATTGGAAATTTATAGGCCATAATTATAGAGAGAAAGACAGAGAGACACTGCACACACAAGCAGCTGGTGTATTTCTTAATTTATCTCCATGTTCAAAGAAAGATCTGCTGTTAAAAAATACTCTCACATGCTCAATTCCATTCACATTAACACAAACCAAGCTGTACAGCTCATTTAGAAATCGTTATGATTACGACATCACAACACTGAGACCATTAACACAAGACTGCCTACATTTACACAACAATTACTCAGTATTTAAGAACTTCAGCCCATCGTGATAAACAACAGTGTGATGTATGGCACTTTGGAGTGTTTATCCAATCATAATAGAGGTTGAATTCTTAAAGGTACAGAAGCAAAACGGACCATTTAAAGATAAAAGTGTGTAATTTCAAACCAAACAAAATAGTCAGAGAATATGGTCATGAAAGAATTGTGTACTTTGCCTAGAGAGCCTAAGTACATACACTCTCAAAACACATTTGACCTCTGACCCCTCTTGAGAAAAAACACTAGACACAGCAGTACGTGTCATTTGGGGGGACAAAAATGCTGGAAATTACATGTCATGTGTGTTTTGGTGTGTATATTGACTGCCATTGTTGCAGAAAAGGGCTCTGCCTTTCCGTTCAGAGTGTGCTCAAAACAATGCCTTCTGGGTAAAACGGAAAAGTCGAATTGTAACTAACATGGGTGTAGCCATTATGCTCTAATACACCCACATACAACTCTTAATTACCCTCACTCACACGGATGCATGGTGGGCATATTAAGGCCTGTAGGCTGAAAGGAAAAGCAGTGGAGCGTGGGTAATGTAGTATTTTAACTGTAACCACTACTAAAATCCATACTACAGATCCATATTACACACCAGCACTCACCAGTCAACATCTACAATACAATAATGAGTGTGTAAGTGGGTGTGTCACACAAAGTTAATGTAGTTATGACTCAGACCTATTATTGTGTAATTTAAAGGATGATTTGACATGCAGTGATGAATAACAACCAGCATTATTTTAGTATCATTATAGTTTTTGTTAATATTTTTTATTTTCAGTTTTCATTTAAAATGTAAAGTTTCAGTCATTGTTTTTTTTTTTATTATTATTTTTGTTAGAAAACTTAAACTAAATAAAAATAAGAAATACTTTCTTGGCAACTAGCTGAAATAAAATAAGTTTAAGTTGTTTAGATTTTATTTTATTTCAGTTAACATTTATTTTATTTCAAAAAGTGATGTTTTTATGGTTTTAGTTTTAGTTAACTCGAATAACCCTATTAACAACCACCAGAATCGACAGATGCACGCAGAGCACTACCTACTAATTTTCGAAAGTAGTATGTAGCATGCATAGAATGCCTAGATGACCTAATACATTTGACAAAATGTGCAGTATGCAACCAGAGCAGGAATACTCTATCCCACAATGCAAAGTGCTGCACTTGACCTTCCATGTCCAGTGTGATAGATGAACCAGAAGTGGCATCAATCTGATTCATCATTTGATCTGAGTGCTAAAAATTATGATTTTTTTTTGACAAAACTGTATTAAAAGGCACAATATATAAGATTTTTTTATTCAAATATCCAAAAACCACTAGAACAGTGTTATATATTTTGCTGACTTGTGTACTTGCGTTATCCCAAATGTTTCGAAGAATGTTCCAGAGAAATAAGCAATTTTAACTAGTGATACGGACCGTGTCAATAGTGTCATTGTGTCGCCTGCCAATGACGTCATAACCCCTCGATTTCCGGTTTTGTTTTGTAGTAAACATGGAAACACCAAAGACGCTTTAATATGTTGTGCGTTTTAATAGACCAGTGACGACCGTACAGAGTAGCATTATAACAGAACTTTCAAACCTATCTAGTATGATAAAACAGCACTGCTTTTTTTGCCCACATACGCACGAAGGAGCGGAAGTGCTCGACTGTGGCATAATAAAAGCTCCGCTGCTTTCGAGCCTTGTGTCACGCTCGTTCAGCGGCCTCGTTTCGCTTCGACGGCTTTCAGCCTCACCCTGCTTCAGTCTACTACGTTAATCATTAGCTCATCCATGAACATGATTTCTGCCCGAGTCCCATCGGATTGCGTCGGCTGTGGGGATGAAGACCACAACTCCCATGATTCCACACTCAGTCACGGTGTCATCAAACTACGTCTTTGTCTATTTGTTTATTTTAAATAGTCGCGAAAATTACATATTGTGCTTTTAAATATAATATCAGACAAGACAACCGGACGCCACTCACTGAATTAAAGATGCAATGTGTCATACAACAACAGAAATGCTTGTTGTATACTACATAGTGTTTCACATATTATAAAAAAACAGATGCCATTAAGCAATGCCATTAAGAATAAGTAACAAAAAAAATCATCACACAAAACAAACATTTACATGCATTTTTACATGCATTATTTTGGCAATACATTTACATTTTTGCATTTGGCAAACGCTTTTATCCAAAGCGATAAACATTGCAAACAAAATCTCAAACCAGTTTCTAAACTCTTAATGGTTTAGTTGATTAAAACTATTAGAAATAATTAGTGTAAAACATCAGAAAGCACTGGATCAACAAGATTTGATCTACAAAACACATCTCTCATTAACATGACAACAAATTACTGTACATTAAGTAGGGTTGGGTATTGTTTGGGTTTTTTTCGATACCGGTGCCAAATCGATACTTTTAAAACGGTTCCGGTGCCTAAACCGATACTTATTAAAAAAAAATAATAAATATGGCCATTAGCACTAAAAACACATGATGTCTGTTTAATTCATACTGGACGCCAGAGGGCGCACTCGCACAGAAAATCCACATATTCAGTCACAGAAGTAGCAAAACTCAGGAAATCCCTTATATGGACAAAGGCATAGCTATTATAGCTGAAAATAGAGAAAGTATTATAATGTTTGCCTTTCTATTACTAATAATATAAAAGCAATCGTTATAATACTTTTTGTATACATTTTAATTCCTATGTTTAACCGTTCTATCGGATTATTAGACAGACTTCAATCCGTATTAGACAGAACTGAACGATGACAGCGAACAAGGAGAATGCGAGCACTATGTGCTCAGGCGCTGCCGCACTCAGCGCCGTCAAAATAAAAGTCCCGCCTCGAACGCATCGGCCAAACAGAAAAACTTATCAGCCAATGCCGATATTTGAAAAATGCCAAGTATCGGCCGATATATCGGCCTTGGCAATATATCGGTCGACCATTAGCCATCAGAGCAAGTGTAATTGCTGCATTCACGCTCTCCTCGGATGCTCTCATTTCCCGAGTTGTGCTCTTAAGTCGGAATGTGAAAACAACATGGACACTCGCGTTACTACAAAGATTTGTTGGATTTGTATTATTAGAGATTTCTGACTTCAGTTCACGTGCATTTTCTCAGTCGTGAAATTATTTTTCACGTGCAGTGCCGGTGATGATGCTGCTTACGTCCGTTTCGGAGAACCAGATGACAAATATTTCAATCGATAGCTCAGGCATGGCACCGAAATGAGGCACCGAAATCTGCGTTCTGATTCGGTCGGTTCTAGTACATACTGGTTACATAGGTACCGGTGCCATATTGGTACCAGGTTTCGGTACCCAACCCTAAAATTAAGTTAAAAGCACAATTTTTGGTTTAGTGCATATGTTAATCTTTAACAACTATTATTGTTGCAATTTGTTTGTTCATTATTATAGCTAGAACTGTCGCGGTCTTAGCTGACAAATAACTGTGGTTAATTTAATTTCCTTTTTTGTTGACACTTGCAGTATAAGCTTAATACACATGCATACACATGCAAATATTGATAGATTAGAATAACATGAATAATAATATTTTACATATGAAAAACTTCAATTTTCAAGTGCACTATTATGACAGTTATTACAAATACCTGTGATTAGATTTGGAAAGATGCAACAATTGTGGCAGGCCTAATTGAGATGCATTATGGGTAACCCTGAAGCTGTGCTTTAAGTCTGAGTAAATGACTCTGTCAATCAAGTTCCACTTAATGCAGAACATTTCAACAGAGAAGCTCATGTATTGCTCTGAACTCTAGAACACTTTCCTCCCTCATTCCGCCCGAGGGAGTGTTTTCACTGTCTTTAATGGAATGCTGATAATATAGATTGACGGAAAAACAGAGAGGGAGGCATCAGATATTACCTACGTCCTTCAAACCATGTCCATCACAGACTAATGAACACACGTGTCTAAACACATGGGCAGTCACTAGAAAAATGAATTCAGGAATAGGAAGCCACGCCTAAATACTGCATCACTTCCTGTCCAGCGACCCCATGGCAGCAGACTGCATCGCCTGATCTCCGGTTCGGCATGTGAACAAGAAAGTACGCACATACAATTACTCCCAACTCCTAACTCCTGTCACCTGTAGGTCACAGCCACCACTTCCTGCTTAGCCTCAGACCAACCCATCAACTTGCTGTCTGGCTCCAGTGAACAGGAGCACTTCCTGTGCTGCCCATCCTCTTTACAACAAAGAGTGCTGACCTCTGGAACACTTGAGTCATGGATAAAACACACACACACGCACACACAACTCACATTATGAATTTGGGAAGTGCTTATTTTTGTTTTTTAAACCACAAAATAAAATATTTCAATTGTAAATATACAATATTTTTTCACATATTACATTATTATTAACAGTTTTTTTTT